TAAAGCACTATCTGTAGGTTTTTCTTTCAGCTGCATATTAATCCCATTCATATTTTAGAGCTAGCTTTCCTAATGAGATTGTGCTCCGGATTCAGAGACAAACTGTCTGGGTCCTGATGGTGCTACAGTTCACTGAGCTCCTGGTTGACCCATTTAGAAGTGAGCGCTCAATACTGCACCGCACAGAGCCAGATTAAATACAACCCAATAAAAATATGCCGGTTGTTTTCACTGCCAGCACTTTTCAGCATAAAATATCATTAATTCCTTCGCAGATCAAGTGTAGTTATGGTAGCACCTAATTTTTCAGGCTACCTCTCTGCCTCCTGACTCTCATCCGTTGGATTTGGAGTCAGCTGTGCACACACCAACGCTGCCCTGGATCTGTCGGCTTTCTCTCCCATCCTGCATGGGCAGAGCTGTGCTGAAAGATCAGGGCTTAGCTTGGATGCAGCGTAGAAAAGAAGAGGGAGTTAGTAGTGGAGGAATAATTCTGCCAGTGTTATTTTTCATCCCTCTGAATTTTACATGTCAGGTTTATTCATTAAAAGTGACAGTTTTTCTCTGTATATGTTTCAAAGTTGACCCTGATGATTTCAGCGCTGACTAACACAGCGAACTGAAAGGCCTTTCTGTCTCATAAACTGGGATTTCTTTTGAGTTTTAGAGTTTAAGCTCCAGAATATTTCCCTGCTCGGTTCCCCAGCTGCTGCTCCAGTTTTGAAGCCACAACAGTCGTTGCCCTGCCACCTGATTGGCTGTTAGATTTGAACGCAAGGCAGATTAAAGCGTTGTCATGGCTACAGAAAACAGGAAATACCCCAAAGCAGGTAAAGCCCTAGGCCTTGTTCGGGGTGTGCTTGCGGGGAAACTAGGCTCATTACTATTGCTCCTTCTTTTCCATTTGCTCCCACAATGCCTCCTTTTTTTAGGGAAGGAGCTGAACCATAACCTCTGTCTGGATACAGATGCTTTGTCCCAAAAAAAACGCCAAAATTCCACCTTGATCCTGAACTCGCTTCTTAGTTTAGGTGCTTGGTAAAAAAGCCTTTTCCCCCCACCTATTCACTTTAATCACAACATATCAGCAGATGTCCTATTATTTTCATCCACCACGGGATACTTCTTTCTCTGCGTAGGTTCCTCTTCATTACACATGCCTAGCTGCAAGAAATTGGCGCTGAAATGTACTTGTCCCCTCCCTAATCCCCCTCAGTGAAAGTGCAGGTCTGCGTGCTTTTGTACAGTCCCTTTGATGGTGTCTGAGGGCCATTGAGTAGCTTTTCGAGAGCTCTGGCCTTTAAGCAGCTTGAGCTGGGTTTTGTGTGCGGCTCTTAAACTGAAGAAAGAGAAAAAGAGAGGGGCCCAGCAGTGGGAGGGGATCAGAGTTTACTCCATGCCCTCGGTACAGTCCACATTCCCCCTAGTGCACCCCATCTGTCTGTGACAATAATGTTGACGAGGGCAGGTTTCTGGTTTCTGGAATGTAAACGTTAATACTGGGAACTGTGCGTTATACATCAGGACCGTTATTCAATTTTATTCTTTGTATAATCTCCCTTTCTCCATTTCCTTCCTCTCCCGGGCTAATTGTGAAGCGATTGGAGGGAAAACAGGCCACAACTGTCAATGTATGGATTTCTCAGCCTTCCTCTTTCTCTTTCTGCTCAGCCTATTGTTGAGGCAAATGATCTTCCTCTGAACAGAGCACAGAAAGGGAATACATTCACCTTCACCAGGCTTTTCTTAACAATAATGAACTCCACTAAATGTTATGTTAGAATAGATCGAGGAAAATCTGACTACAAGGATAACTTCATTTATTCTCAAATAATTTATTTGTGTATCCTCTTAAGGATCTTTGATTGAATGCAGCAACTGTGATACGAAACACCTGCAACCTTTCACGCTCCATTAATGACTCTTAACCCCTTTTTTATTTATTTTTAAAAGTGTCTTATTGTATGAGAGATGCTGTCTTGCATATACACCAAATGTAAGGACAAAGTAACAACATTTTGGGTTATTTTAGTTGAAAGATTTCAGTTTTTGTCCTTGCTTTTGTCACATGATTAAAGTAGGTGAGGCTCAGTTGGAATAAGCTGATGTTATACCTTTAGAAACATGTGGATCTAAATCAGTTTAAACTTGTCAGACCGTTACATCTAATCAAACCACATTAATGTACCGGTAGTCCTTATTGAGCATGTTACTTGAGATTGTGAGCGTTATCCTATTAAAAGATAATACCAATAAATTGCTTATTTAGTTATATATTAAATAATTTTCAGAGCCTTTAAAATAAGGCAGGGTCTAGCTGTGAGCCCAGCATCACATTTGTTTAAGTACATTCAAGTTAATTTGTGAATATGGACAAAAGAAGTCACGAACAGACATTGGCTTTCTGGAGGACTGGCATAGGCAGTTACCGATATTTTTAGACATTGTATACAGCAAAACAGCTTAAAAAATGTAAACCACAATGGAAATAAATGCTAGTTGCAGCCAGTTCTGCTCTAGACAGTTTGCATATTGTAATATCTGAAGCATGACTCTTAGTATGAGCTGTTTGTCTCCCTCCTGCGGACAAATAAGGAACTGAGGGATTACAAAATAAAACAGAAAAATATGCTTAGAGAATAACATTTTAGCTGTAATTAGACTTCCGGTCCCTGGAGTGTTTTTAGTTTTCCATACTTTATAAAATCTCATCCATTTGTTTTAACCTTGGCCTTGAACATGGATCCTTCCCTCCATTCAAACTATCAGCTCTTCCCTGCCTGGCGCTTTGCTCCCCCTGTTGGTCATTAATAATACTGCTGCTGCTCCCTTACCCCCCCTGTTAGCCCCCTCTACCCCCCTGTCTGCTACACCCTGGGACATTACCATTTGGTGAGACTGACTGGCTTTGGTAAGGGAGACGGTGGGGGTCCGGCAGGGGGTACTCCTGCGCTCCGGGCTCCCTTTTGCATCGCCTGAGCTGCTGGAGCCCTTTGTTATCGTTGAATCCTTGAGCCGTTGACGTTGAACAGGAGATTGGCACAATCTTAAAATCTGCATAGATACGGGTTGAGTTTATGACCTTGCAGGAAATTGAGATACATTTATGTGCCTGTGTGACTTGTATATTTAAAGCTGTGTCATATGTTATGTGTCACGAGGTTTATTTATTAATGCACAGTGTGAATGAGGAGTGATATTTTTGCAGTATTTGACTAAGTATGTATGAGGCTACAAAGACACATTTTGCAGAGGAGGTTTGATTCCCTTATTTCCTCTAAAGCCTTTCAGGGTGGATTATTGTAATCAGCAGTACACTCATCTAAACACCAGGTGTCACCAACAAGCAAACTAATGCTGTCAGCAACTCATGGGAGGGCCAGCTCTTTCCATCAATAACTTCCAATAATCAGGAAGTTTGAAGGATATACATTTGTATCTTGCTTCTCTTCCTGCTTTTCCTTTGGATTACGTTTCTGTTAGCGATGGCGCCTTTACGGCTAATGGATAATATGGATAATGGATAATATGGATGCATAAAAACAGCTTGGGCCTCTAAGGGATGGTGCATCCTCAAGAAGGTCATGACCTCTGGCCTAAAAGGTCCCAGAACCACCAACCAGCTGTCCACACAATAACAGTGTTCCTCTTCGCGTTGATAAGAACGGGGTTAAAAGACAATTTCCTGGAGTATATAATAACGACCCGTTTTTTAATGAACAACCCTTGAATAAAATGGTTGTGTCACAGCTTCCCATCATCTTGAGGGTAATTTCCTTTCCACTTTGACACCTGACTTTGACACGTTTCTGCCGTTTTCACACCGGCAGAGCAAAGAGGAAGAGGAAACAATAACAGTGACTATTTGCCACATGTGTCACAAGCCCAGCACCCTTTGTATCTGCCCCACTCCACCTCCTTTGTCATTCAAATAACCCTCATGAATATTTCACTCCCCTTATCTGACGTCTGGAAGAAGGGAGGGAGAGAAAGGAAGAGGGGCTCGTGCAGAAGGAGACATGAAAGAGTAATAATCCTAAACATGGCGTGGATTCAGTCAGAGTAATGACCTGTGTGGTGACGAAGCTTGGGCTTAATAGTAATTGGAGAAAGACTCATTAGCAACAAATCCAGACAAACAGTATTTCAATACGTGTTTTATTCATCACTTCTCAACAGTAGGAGATGTTTTTTTTTATTGTTCAGCTTCCAGTTGCGTGCTTATGAAAAGAACTCTTTAAAAAATCAGCCGGCAAGGAGTCCCAGCAGAACCTAATTACACGTGTTGAGTGACCCAGTCCCCTTGCTGAGCACACCGGCCGGTTTGTTTGCTGTTACACTGCAGCCCCTGGGCCGAGTAGTGGGTGAAAGGTAAAAGCTAATGAGGTGAGCAGAGGAAACACTCCTAACCTATAAATGCGCTCTGACAAAAGCCAGCACAGAAACACAGGAAGTGAAGGTGCTCTTGACGTGGCCTTCTGCGCTTGTGAAGTGACTTTAGCACACGAGAGTAGCTCTACACTCAAAGACAAATGTAATGTCTCTACCTTGAGCTGCTTCGCTTTTAATTGAGCAAGAACCCTCCTGCTCATCATGACTCCATCATGTGTGGCAGATCATGTACTTTTACATGCGTTAATGATATGCAGCGTGGCCCCTTTAAGAGCCCACCGTCCTTTTTTTTAAAACGAGCCCAGGACTCGGAGGTCTGTGTGTGCTGTGCTGACCGTGGCCTCTGTGTTGGTCACCCTGGGGGTGTGTGTTGGGGGGGGGGAGCTACAGCAGAGAAACTGATTCTAACCTCCCCAGCCCCCGTTTAGACCAAACGGCAGCCTCTCCGCGCAGCATGCCCTTATCTACCAATGGAATGCAACAGCTGTGCGGGGGAGCGGCAGGGTGGGCTGGCTGAAACCCCCCTGCCAGACCCCCGCACAGCCCTCTCCCCCCCGACCACCCCCCCTTCCACCTCAAAGCGACGTGCCGGGCTCCTGAAAGGCAGCTCAACTAAAAAGTGAGATAGACACAGTGAGAGACTCGGCAGGGCTGCTGCTCATTCAAAATAGAGTCAGAGGGAGGGAACAGAGAGAGAGAGAGGGAGAGAGAAGGAGAGTCAGGGACAGGCAGTGCTGTAAAGGAGAGCACAAAGAGAAGGAAAGTGGAGCAGGGGAGGGGAACAGGAGGCTTGGTGGTGAAGGGAGAGGGAAAGACAAAAGAAGGAGAGGGGAGACATCGCAGGGTGAACGGAGGGGACTGAGCAAATGGCTACGGAGGACACGGCGGGGGGAGCCAGGAAAGCCACCAAGAGCAAACTGTTTGAGTTCCTGGTCCATGGAGTGGTGAGTGGCGCTGTCCATCATTCACTTGAAGAGAGCTGGCATGTGTGTCTGTGTGTATGTGTGCATGGGTCGGCGCAGCAGCAGCAGCAGCAGCGGTCTGTGTGTGAGAGATAGCTGGGTAAAGCTGGCCATGTGAAGGTTATTTCCAGCCCCCACCCCCCTGGATCCCAGCCTGTTAGGAGATAGCTTGAGAGAATAAGAAGTGGAGCAGCATGGATGGATGGAGCTGAGAAGGATGGGAAGCTGAGGAATTCTCACACACAGAGAAAAATTGAAGGAATAGAAGCTTAGCAGCAGCAGAAAGCAGCCAGCTCCCCCTTTGGCTAACACAGGAGCACACTGCTTCCCTGAGAGTCACAGACAAGGGGAGGGGGTGGGGGGGGGGGATGACGAGTCTACTCACAACAACAGTCAAGAGTAGCCTTCCAGGCAGCGTGGTGTTGGGTTGGTGGAAGGATTTGAACCTGTAAGGTCACAAGACAAACGGACGTAGTAGCGTAGACGGAGAGACGAGGCATGCGGCCAAACCTGGAAATCATGCAGAACAATCAGCCCATTCATGTGAAGCCAGCGTGAAATGTCAAGTCAAGTGTTGCTCATGCTCAGAGGTTAGGCAACTGTTACCACACTTTAATAACACATCATGGATGACAGTAGCAGTGTGTTTTGGTAATGAGCTGGATGAATGGGAGGATTGAGGGTGATGGGAAGTCAGTGACACTTGAAAGTTCTAGCAGATGTGGCTTTGACATTGACTCAAGCGGGTAAATAAACTGGGGATTTATGGCAATAACCAATCTTTTTTCCATTCATTACATTTTATTTGCTTAATCATTCACTCAATTTGTTTTAGAATTAACACCCACTGCGACTTCTTAAAGCTCAAGGTGACATTTTCAAATGTTTTGTCCAGCTTGAAATCCAAAATCAAATTATGTTTATTTTGACATCTGGGGAATAGTTTGATTAATCTAACCCTGACCTAGGAAAATATAATTTCTTCATAAATCTCCATTTCCTGAGGAACGTTATAATTTCTCCTCATTTTGGTTCAAATTAATTTCACCTTTTGTGCAGATCCTGAATCCTGGACTCATTTCCTCTCCTCTTGTACATGGAGAACGTCAGAAAGGCTTTATAGTATTTATTTGCTAATTGAACACTACATTTTCCTTCATTTTCGTTTAATACTTGTATATTTTGGGGCATTGTATGCTCTCTGTAGTAGCGAACTGAAAGTAAAGAGATAACAGGCAATAGGGGAATGGAGAGATGGGGAACAACCAGACTGGAATCAGGGATCTAAATAGATGTTGCTGAGGTGCAGACAATAATAGTGTGATGCTTGACTCACACAGTTTAGAGACCAAAAGTCCAGAAGAAGTATCAGTCGATTGCGCGGCAGTATTTATTTTATATTATATTCCACCCCAAAAAATCAACTGGTATCACCAAATCATCTTATGACCCTCCCAGAGGTCTATCGTTGTTTTTCTAGTTATTTGAGTCATTATTTCCAAAAGAAATGTAAAATACTCTGCCGTTGTGGCTTTTCAAGAGTGAATATATGGCTGTTTTGGCTGTTGTTGGATCAGGTTAACAAGCAACCTGTGTAAAGTGAATATCTCACTATTTCCTTATACTTTATAGACCTAACAATTCTTCTAGAAAGTATTCAGACACGACCTCCCTCATCATAAATGTTGTCTCATTGTTTGGATGTGGTGTTCACTTTCCGATGACCTGAATTTGCACAGTTCCTGAAACTTGGCATCACTTCTTAATCCTCAAGTACACCGAGAAGGTCAGAAAGACTTAATTTGTTAAACCCTTTTTTTATGTCTTAAAATCACAGAACAAGCATTTGCTCGGCTCAGGTCTGATTTCCTGCGTTTTAATCAGCGCTGATGTTGGGCGCACTGACACCAGGTAGATTTATACAGTTGAACAAGATGAGGTATTGTCTGTTTGACAGGATCGGTCATTACGGGGGCTTTGGGCTGCGCAGACACAGACTTAGGGAAACAATGGAGCAGGTGATTGATGATCCAGATGAGTGTGTCCTCTCCACAGACCAATTAACCTTGATGAGGTTCTGGCTGCTCCAAGCCAAATATTTCCCTCCACTGCCTCTCCCCTCCACGTTTAAAGATGGAAAAAAAGTCCTGTTATAATAGTTGTGGCAGGTTCCTTTTTTCTGTGTATACTGCAGAATGTAGAAATATTTATACTATGGGACAGGGGGATGAATCGTCGCAGTTTGTGAGCTTGTGGGCGATCTATGACGTTTTCTTTCCCCCTTTCATGAAGTTTTTATACACGTGCATCCACATGTAGCAATATATCTAAATACACACACACACACATTGTTGTGGTTACTGAAGGTCGTAGTGTTCCTGCCTCCCAGCAGCAGTGTGTGTTGTGGGGGAGTGTGTTTGGCCGAGTTCTGCTTCTAGGTCTGATGGGTGGGCTGAGGTCGGTCTCTTCCTCTTTCTCTCTCATTATCTGCCTCACCTCCCCCCCTGCTGTGTTACGTGTGTGTGTGCGTGTGTGCGTGTGTGCGTGTGTGCGTGTGTGCGTGTGTGCGNTAATAATAATAATAATAATAATAATAATAATATTCCAGTTATAAACGACATGAATCAAAGATGTGTTGCTGTATTTTAGTGGTAAAAAAATGCATTCATCATCATAATTATTCTATATATATATAATTTACACAGTGCCTGTAAACCGGAGGAGAACGCTGGCATTTCTCCTCCTACTTGAAAGACTACGGAGGGATATGTTCTGCAAAATTAGTTTGTGTGTGTGTATATACAGTATATATATATATATGCTATATACAGCGGTGCACATAAGTGGTACGCAGGTACGCATGCGCGGCAACAATCTGAAATGCGTACCGTCAGTTGTATCACAAAACGCATTTGCGTACCGACATACTTGTGAAGCTTTTCCAGAAGGCGGTTAGATCACCGGACGACAGAGTCGGTTTCCGTGTGCACAGACAGGGCTGCTGATAACGTCGGTCTGTACAGCAGCACTGCGCTAAAACAGCTGATCACAACGTTCACACGCTCTGTGGTCACGAAGCCCTGCACTCCACTACCCCATCNGTGCGTGTGTGTGTGTGTGTGTGTGTGTGTGTGTGTGTGGAGAGGTCAGCGAGGGCCTTGCCGCATTCTGCGTGGGAAACCCCGATAAGCCGAAACATAATATGACACACTGTTGCGTTGTCATCTGTAAATATTGAGTGTGTTACTGTGAGACCTTTGAACACAAAATGCCCCTTTAAACTCTGGATCAATAGAACCGGATTCGACGATTAAGGATTTTTTCCAATGTTCAAAGTTTGGAGATTTGCCCGTGAGGAAAGTTTTATTTTCCTAAAATGTTACCTTTTTTTGCCTTCAAATCAATACAAAGAAGGGGAAAGATATGTTTCTGTGGCCCTTTGAAAAGTAAAATTTAAAAATGTTCAACATCCACTCGCCTTTTTCCAAACACAATGTCCCAGTTATTCTGGTTAATCCATAGACCTTGCCATGATCATTGAAATGATTTTTACCAAAGAAATACCTTTCATAAAAACTGTCCAGAATTTGTTCTTTGGATCAAAACTAACAGGGACACGTTTCTCTATTTTAAAGAGAGGTCACTGTTGAATCTGAGTAATCTCACTTCCATTTACCTCTATTGTAATTGGGATGAGGCGGATATTCCAAAAAATATCATGTTCAAATTTCACCACACATTCCTCTGAAAGTCACAAAACACTTATATTGAAGCAGCACTCGCATGGTTATAAAAAATGTTGTCCGAATTGATAAGGATGTAAGCTAAACTGACCTTTTTATTTAAACAGAACTGGGATTTCGATCCTTAACAAGATAAACGAGTTGCATTGTTAATGATATCACTTTTGAACAACATATAATTGGATTTGTTTCAGTTTTCTGACACTTAATTGATGATAAATTCAAATAATTATTTAATCTGTAAATATGAGTCACGTCCCGCTCAAGGACCCTCCGCTTCAGTTTTTAATAGATTTTATTCCAATCAAAGCTTTTAAAAGGGACCGTGCGTGTTGCAAGCAACCCACAGACTCGCATGTTTGGGTTAAGTTTGGCCTCTTCAAATCCCTCCAGAGATGCCAACACACTTCTCAGATATCCCTCCACATGGCCGCTTCGATTGCTGGCTGGCTGGCAGAGCTCCGGGCCCAGATTTGGAGTCAGTTCAACAGGTCAGATTATAGAGTACAACCCATTGTGAGTGTCTGGGGGGGGATTCATACTACACATGATCCAGCTATGGATTTCTGTATCTCCCGTTCTCCAGACAGCAGCTGTAACAGAAGTCTGGAAGTGTAGCCTGTTATTGCCCAGCTTAGGTAGGAAGAGAAATAGTCTGTTAAAGCTCCACAAAGTGACAACATTCAGGCAGGAGGCCCTGGCCATATGTTGTCTTATCCTCTCCCCATTCTGAGACCCTTCTCAGTTGCTTTGACCCCCCCAACCTCCCCTCCCCCCAGCCAGAGTGACAGCGCCGCCTGCTCGGGCTTCTTATCGCAGGATCTCTGCCTGGTTACCATTTCAAAAGGCACATAATACGCCAGCCTCTCGAATGGTTTGATTAAATCTCTGAGAATACATGCATTCACGTTTGGTCCCAATTTGATATCTAGTTTCATGCTGTTTATTACCTTCTTCTTTGTTTGATTTAACATGTTTGCGGAGAGTCTAAAGATCAAATCTGACGTGTTTGTACTTCCAGTAATCAAAATGTACAGGTGACTAATAGTGTGAAATGTGGGGAAATGTAATCTCCTTTAGCTGTCTCTTTTTCTCTGAGCATTTACCCATTTGTTACAGAATATAACAGCAGTCGGTTTCTGTGCCAATTTGAAAGAGGACATATTTTCTTGCAAGGCGATGGTTAAACGTCAAGGTTTCTTAACTTATGGCTCTGTTAACAGCAAGATTGAAATGTTTTTCTGAATAATAAAGAGGTAGAAAAAGAATAGACTGTTACGTGGTGTAACTGGCAAGTTGTCGGTCCTTTGTGGAATATTTATAGTTTTATATTAACTAAGGAACCATCAATCACTGTCATATCTTTGGATTCATCTGTGCTCAAAATGCATTTCAGTGGTGGAGTATCATTACTTAAGCTGTGGAATTACATCCAGTTTTGAGGTACTTGTACTAAAGTTCCTCCATTTTATTAAACCAAATATTTGTACTACTCCATACTTCATAGGAAAATACCTGTTACTTCGATTATTTTATCTGAAAGTTATACTTAATTTATATTTATGATTTCATTTAAACCCTGCAATGGTCTTATAAAAGATGTTACATTGTTAAAGTTGAAACCATATAACAGGGCTGGATTATCCTACCTCAGGGCAAAATAAAAACACTGGCCCCCTAATCAGACCCCCCCACGCCCCACCCACCCTTAGTCCTTCCCCTGGGTTCCCTTCAGTTAACAACATTAGAGTAAATGTCCATATTCTGCTTATTTGAGTGGTGGTCACACTCAATAGTTGCATGACATTACCTCTGTGTGCGTTATGGCAAAATGTTACATTTCCACAAGCTTTTAAATACAAATCTCCATTTCTTTTGGCCATCCATAGTATCAACTGAACTATATTATTAAGTCATACATAAGCTTCAGTTGGAACGTCTTTAGCTTCAGTAATGTGACATATCTGAAGGATGAGGAGGAAAAATAAATTTCAAGTAGATTTTGGAATATTTTCACATATATCACAATATCTGAATATCTCTTCCACCTCTGACACATTTAAAATAATATATGTTATTTAATTAGAAGACATACAGTTCTTCACACTCAGTGTGGGGGTCTGTGCTCTCCTTCAAAGGAGTCAAAGGATTTCTTTATATCGCACGATCCCCAATTTGGTTTCAGACAATGAACTGAGGCGGGAGGCAGCTGTTGCCATGGGAGTGACAAGCACAGGTGAGAGTTCCCCAGTTGTTCCCAGGCGTCAACACCAGGCGTGTGTGAAACTGTGGGCTCTGACACTGTTGGCATTGTTCAGGAATTAGGAGACGTGTGTGCGTGACATATTTTTCTAAAAGTAGTCAACAGAAAACAACAATGATTTTCTCAGTGTTTTTGAACGTTGACATTGATTCTACTGACACGTTTAGGGTTAAAAAGTTGTCTGAAGTTTTGGTTACATATTTTTCTGTCGGCCTCTAATTTTCGCCTTTATAACACAAACAAATCCCATAATAGATTGCACGTCTTTTGAAGCTTTACTACACTTTCTTTCATGTCTGCTGCGCCAGATGGAAAAGATTCAAACTCGAGTAAAATGATTTCACCAGATTGCCTAGTTTCTGTTCATGTTTACTTGTTGGTTGTTAGATTACTGAAATGTTACCAAATGTTACACAAGGTAGAGGCAGAGCAGAATTTCATTTTTGAATAGGAAAATTGTGTGAGGTCTGGATCAGAAGCTGATGTGACCGATAGGATGATTGAAAAACTTCAAGGAAATGCACAAAACTGCCATTGATCTCATGTTTCCTTTGTTATATTTTTAGACAAACTAATTTGTTATTATAATGACTCACAATGGAAAATGTTTGTTTTACTTGATCATGACCCGTCTTTTCTCCTGCGTTCTCCCCCCCAGCGTCCTGGCATGCCGTCTGGAGCGAGGATGCCCCACCAGGGAGCTCCCATGGGCCCCCCCGGCCCCCCGTACGGAGGCAGCCCGGCGGTGCGGCCCGGCCTGCCCACCCCCGTGATGGAGCCCAGCCGTAAGAGGCCTGCTCCCTCCCAGCAGGTCCAGCAGCAGGCCGTCCAGGGTCGTGCCAGAAAGTGAGTCTGAATCCAGTCCCAACCCCCAACCCCTACCTCACACTGCATGGCCTGCATATAGAACTCCTTTTTTATCTGCTTTTGTGTGACGTGGTTGACATCATGAAAAAGCTGTGGTTACACTTTATAGTCTGGCATAGATCTGCAAACCAAACATGGAAATGGAATCATGGGCAGGCAATTAGTAAGAGCTTGGCATCGATTCATAATCTATTTTAGCAGATTGTCATATTGTTAGTGTTTTTTTGTTATTTTCTGAGCACACAATTCCAGACTAAACTCGTAATTTTGTCAATTTTAGACCAGGCAAAACGTTTAGTAAACTGTCATTCAACAGATTACACCGGTAAGTTTATTAAAGTAGAGGGAAGTAGGATAAATGTATATTCCTTGGAGTAGGTAGGCCTACTGGATAAATAATTGTCGTGAGACATAAAATACCAATCGTACACATTTATTAGGAAATCATTTAACAGTTTTGGTCATTATTAATCATAGATCATAAAAGTGATGAGTCAACAGTGCGAAAAGAGTCTACATGCTAAATGCTAGTGTTAGCATGCTAACATGCTAACAATGACAGTGCTAACGTTTTGATTATAGCAGGTAAAATGTCTCTAGATTTAAAACTGTTGAACTTACAAAACCAGTGGAAGCTATCATGAGCATTTTACTTTGTATTTCTTTTACAAATTCATTAAATTGTTTTGGATTAACAAGGAAAAAGTAATAAAGATTATCATAACAAGCAGCTTGACAAGACAGGGCTTACCATTACCAAACTATTTCTCTACAGTGATCTCATAGAAAGTGCTTCCCTAAGCTTTGTGTGTTTCTGCTAGCGTTCATTTCAACTTTTATTTTGACTCTTCCACTGCTTTTTTGTGTTGCATCTCCTGCTTGCTCACCGCTCTGTGCATCCACTTCTCACCCTCCCATCCTCTGCTGTGACTGAACGTCTCCTCTGTTCACTCTTCCTGGGTCTTTGTTGTACAGTGTGCCCCCATGCTCTTATCTGAGTGGTGTCCATGCTGTTGTCTGCAGGCGTTCAGGCTCTAGTACTTCTCTTATTGTCTGCTGTTTGACAAAGGAGCTGAACATCAGTATCCCAGGCACACACAGCGGATGGATGTCTGTTAGGAGGCCAGTGTGGCATGTTTGGTCATTAGAAAGGAGATCGATATGCGCACTCGGTGGACCTCTGTCTCTCTCCGTTTCATTCTCTCAGTATCTGCAGCACGATTGATCCACTTACAATTAAGCCGGCTTGTCGAACAGGTCAGGGGAAATGTTGTCCTGCGTCGGGGCTTCGACCCCCGGAGAGTCCCTGCTGGCTGCGGAAAGGGTCTGATCGATGGTCCAGGGTGACCCGTCCAGGTGTCTCTGTCTCTCTGTGGCTTTGTGACAAAGTTTGTGTCCTCTGGCAAACTTAGTTGATGCCCCTGCACTCCGCTCCTGCCAGCTGAAGGCGGGCCACCTGTGTTTGCAGTGTCATTGAGACCTTATGGTCCCTGCCTCACTCCCTCTGCAGACAAACGCCGTCCTACACAATGCTGCTAAAAACATAAAGAATCTTAATACCTCACCTCGTTTCCTATTAATCACATTTATACACTGCTAATTTGGCAGATTGCAACTTTGACACCAAGTGTGTCTTCCTCATTGCGTTACTAGAAAACATTTGCTGTTGCAAATTAGTCTAATTTAAATGTAGGGGACAGGTTTGGAATGTTTTTGTATCAAAGAAAACATAATGAGGTTAAAGCATAAATTAATGTCGAGTATTTTCCCTGTGTCTCGTAGCAGGAAATACTGTTCGAAATGATCTTCAAGCAAAGTTGTCTGTGTGGATTTATCTCAGGTGTGCTTTCTTTAAAGTGAGAAATAATATTAAAGCATTATTATATAACATTTCAGATTCATATCATCATACTCATACTGATGCCATGTAGAAATTATTCCTGTGCCCTTAACTTACATCTTGTGAGGGTAAAATCAAGATGCATTAAATTAGTTGAAAACGTGGGGCTTTTTCACAACAGTTTTCCACTATTTCAAAAAAATGTAAGTTGAATTGAGCGATTGCTACAAACAGCTCAAACCTGCGAGCCACTGAATCCACCAGTCTGTTGATTTCAGTGTGCTTTCACAGAATCAAAGTAAAAATGTACCCGGTCTCTTCTTGATGCAACTATTTTACAGCACATTATCTAGGACGTGCTGATGAACCTTGATTTTTGCTGCTAGTCTTTGTCCTTGAACAGACCTAAAAACATTCCTTGCTGTTCAGAACTAACGGTTACCTAAGGTTTCAGTTTCAGTTGTTTCGAGGGGCTAGAAAGTGGAAATACTTTAAAAGATTTGAGCTTTGGTTTTCGGTGATGAGCAAGAAGCTGTGAATAGCATGCATGTTGTCTTCATCTGCACATTATTTCCTCAATGCGACATCCAATAGAGCTGAACTCACACCCAGCCTGTTTTCCTGTGAGACACGAGTTCACAGTGTTGTCAGTGTGTTGTCTTGTCTGTGTGTGTGAAGCATGATTCTTTTGGTTCACAGAGAAACCTTGTTGAATGAGCGTGTCCCTCAGATGAGCGGGACCCCCCCCCAGCTCCTCCTCTGCTCCTCCTCTGCTCCTCCTCTGCGTGCATGGACGCAGTTACATGCCCCCCCCCAGTGCCTGCCCTTGTCTGAGTTTTAGAGTGTGCACCTACTAACACACCGTTGAATTTAACACACACCCAACACATACAAAACAGCCACAACCACCAGGTGTTCCCCCCCCCCTTCTGACATCATACGTGAGTGTGTGTCTCGCCACAACTCTAATCGGACAACCTTCGAATCCCCACCACATTTAGGAAGCCAGTCGGATTCCCCGGAGCCAATGAGATGCCGGCGAGGCAGATGGACATGAGAGAGCCCCAATCAGATCCCACGCTCGGATCAAAGTAGGAGTTTATTCTGCTGCATGACCGTTTTCTTACGTTTGATGACTCTGGCCTATTTAGAATTTCACCAGAGCCCAACACTCCTTGAATGAAGTGTGTTGGCCGGCTATACGTCCAGGCCTAGATATACACCCCCTAAAATGTAGTGGTGCATGCTTTGGACTGGAGCATGGCATGATGGGAACAGTTTGTTTCAGCCAGAACAGAAACATAAAGTAGAATATAATCTCAACCCCCCTTTTTAATGATGCAGGTTTTTGTTTTCCTATGCAATGCACCCCTGGATCTTTCAATCCTCCCTGCAGCAGGCTTGTTTCAGTATTTGGCATGCTGATGTAACAGACCGTTGCAGTGTTCTGTGATAGAACATTTCCCTACACTGCAAAAAAAATCCAGATCTATAAACAGAAAAAAAGTTATGTAATCTAAAGAAATGTTCCACAACCAATTAGGGTTTGGTGATATGACGATATACCTTTACCATATACACCATATAGATACATTAATAAACTGTATTTATATAGCTCTATTTTTGGCCAAACCAGAGTTTCAATTTGTTTTTGTTCTCTTTCTCGTTATTCTATTTTAAATTAGCTTTTTTGATATGATATCCCAATATAGAATGACCAATTCAGAATATTTTATACATATTACCCAACCCCAGTATCAAACCATAAATCAGGTAGGCCTAAACAGATTTATTTTTGAACTATTTTAGAAATCAGACCACTACTAAAGTCCATCTACCCTTGATATAATTATTTGACATTTTTGGGAAGACATTTATTGACTTTGTTGCAGAGAGCAGGTTGAAGAGACGGACACACTAGCTTAGCTTAATTTGGCCTAGCTTAGTTTAGCCTAGCATAAAGACTGGATATAGTGGAAAGCAGCTAGCCTGGCTCTATTTAGAAGTAACAGAATCTACCTAATTAACACTTTGTATTTTGTTTGTTAAATCTGTACAAAAAATGTGTAAAATATGACACGTTTTATTTTTATACTGAGTTATGTGTCATTTTTACACTTCAATTATTCTATAGTCTCAGCAAAGGAGATACGTGTTAATTAGTCAGCTCTAGTGTTGCTGGCAGGTGGATTTTCTTACCTTCAGATAGAGACCACGAGCTGTTTCCCCCTGTTTGAGGGTTGACTAAAGCAGTGAAACTTTTTAAATTCACAATAAAGATGATGAAAGTGTTCTTCAATGTAGCTCGATTTAAGTTTGTATGCTTAGACACGATTAAAGAGCAACTTGCTCATGCAGTCTTTATCTTCTTTAGACAAAACAACGATATGCCCCGCGCAGTAGGATTCGTTATCTTTCATTAGAAAAATATTATTAAATTGTCCAGAAATCTGTTATTTTAGACTTTGTTTTATAGCTTTTTTTGCAGTTTAGGGCTATCCTGGTGTTTTATAGGAAATACCCTCCTATAGGCACCAACAACAGAACACTTGCATGAAATGACATGAAAGGTGTCCACAGATTCAATATTTAAGAAACTTTAAATAGAGAAAGTAGCTGTAGTGCTGCTTTTGTAATCAGTGTCACCAAGAAATAAAGTTCTGACAGCGAAATCAACTTCAGCGACTTATTGTCCTCAGTTCCTCCTCGGTAAGTATATAAAAACAAGGTTTTGGTAAAAAAAAATTGTTTCTCACACAGCAGGTAAAATGAAACCATGAATGAAAACACACACACACATTTCCGTCTTTGGAAATCATACTTGTATACAAGTACAGCAATCACTGCAGCAAGTAGAGAGGAAGTGTGTGTGTGTGTGTGTGTGTGTGTGTGTGTGTGTGTGTGTGTGTGTGTGTGTGTGTGTGTGTGTGTGTGTGTGTGTGTGTGTGTGTGTGTGTGTGTGTGTAAGGCAATAGGTCTTTGATGAGACACTTTTTGGGCCGTTAGAGGCTCTTGTTCTCCAAGTGGGCTGCTGCTTTTCAGAAAACACACACACACACACACACACATGCACACACACAGCTGGGATGCTGGGGTGCTGGATATGGCCCAGCATTTTAGCAGATGGCCTGGGTGCTACGCTATCAGTCACCATAGTAACATGCTCTCTTTTTCCTCTTTCTCTCTGTCTTTCTCTCCCTCTCTCCAGTGCTAAGAGAAGGAAAATGGCAGACAAGATTCTTCCGCAAAGGGTGAGGCTGCAATGTGTTTTTTTTTACCTTTGTTGTTATGTTTACTTAATGCGTGTGTGTTATTATGTGTTGGTGTGCACAACAGAAAAATCCTGATTGTTTTTTAATGTCATGGGTTCTTGGAAGGCGCAGAGGGCCAGACGATTTGTGTTATTATGAAATGAGGGGAGAGAGTATGAGGGCGCGATCAGGGGGTTTAGGGTTATTTATAAGGGGTTTTATTAAGTTATTTTGAAAGCGGCTCATTGAGTTAAATTGGAAAAATCAGCAGGATATGGCAGACACTTAAGTAGAACCGAAAGAGAATCGCCACCTTGCCACAGGTGAGTCTATGAGGTGATTTTTACATCCCGTTGTTTCAGTTTTTCGGCCCTGTGCCACACAATAACCTCACCACGGCTTTCAAACTGAAACTACGGCGGGCTGGAGACTGTATTTGTCTTAGCTTGGGTCTTATCCTCTAACATAACCCAGACAGAGAGATAGCGGTAGGCATGGCTGGGGCGCCACTCCACAATAATGAGTCAGGGACAGGGAATGTCTGCCACACTCCTCCGTCTGCTCGCCACCTCAGCCCGGTGAAAGGCATTGAGATGGAGATAGAGAAGGAATGAGAGGGAACAATGAAGGCAGCCATTTAGAAAATAAACATGAAAGAGAGAAGCAGAGGGAGGGAGGAGAGGAAGCGAACTGTAGGACCGTGTGTGTGTGCACAGTTTGGTAAGTGAGCAGCAGCCCTTGATGCTCCGAGGACTTTCATCGGTATGGTAATGTGTGAGCCCTGGCTGCTTGGCTGCACACTCTGCATCTCATTCTGATCCCCCCCCTCTGTCCCCAGGATGCTGTGGAAACCGTATTAATGGTGGGCTGGGCAGCGGTTTGAGGGAAAAATAACTCTCGTAGTAAATGATACTCCATATATAATGTAATCATTTAAATCTGAGTAATCATATTTAGTTTTTATGTAACGACAAGGTATTAAAACTGAGATTCCTCAAACTTGTTTTGTGGCACAGGTGTATGATGAATGTCTGAATTTTGAAGAAATTGGTATAAAATTAAGCATTTATAACATTTCCATTCTCTCAAAATGTGTCTTGTTTTTTTTTTTACAGTCAGACCTGTGGAGTATTTGTGTGACACTGTATTTGTGTGAAATGTTCCCAATTTTCAAGATACTTCAAATAAAACTGAAAGGAATAGTTTTACATTTTGCGAAAATTGCAAAAGTCTTTAAGGATGGATGAGAAGATTGTTACCCTTGTCTTTAAATTACCATTCCTTTAAACAATACTATATGTAATGGGGCTTAATGTCCTTGAAACAAGACATTGGACCCCCTGCAGCACCAAAGCGGAGTATACAGCTATTCTGCTTGAGCCTTGAGTGATATTCACATAGTATATATGAATAAAATCTGCCTTAGATCTGAGATCTAAAGTTTTTAATGTCACATTGTCTCTCCTCTGAGCAGATCCGTGAGCTGGTGCCAGAATCCCAGGCTTACATGGATCTGCTGGCGTTTGAGCGCAAACTGGACCAGACCATAATGCGCAAACGAGTGGACATCCAGGAAGCACTGAAGAGACCAATGAAGGTAAGGAAAAAACATCAGGAGCCAATAAGCCCTGTCTAAAACACCACTTTTGGAAGGACAGACATCAAATGTGCTTCGACAAACCATATTGAAAGGGTATAAATTGCCAATTTGGGTTTTTCTCTCATCTTAAAACACAAATTTAGTACCATTTCTAGGCTAAAACGTGTAATATTCAATCATTAATCTTTCTTTATAATCTGTTTATATACCTAAAGTATTTTTATTAAAGATTTTGTGGAATGTCCGTTTGATTTGTGGTGTTTCTATGTGCCCTTGTGTCAGCAGCAGAAGCGTAAACTGAGGCTTTACATATCCAACACCTTCAACCCTGCAAGACCAGACGCTGATGACTCAGACGGCAGCATTGCATCATGGGAACTGAGAGTAGAGGGGAAGTTGCTGGATGACGTAAGTGTTGTGCATTTCAAATATACAGTGCACGTTGAAATTGGTGTCTTAATGCCTTAGCTTTTTATCACATATCCAACGTAAAGGTGATGTAGGGTTTGCTATTATGTCGTTGAATAGCTGCTTAAAATCATAATCTTCCTATTACAGTGTGCTGCTGTGGTTATGATGATGTGCTCAAACAAACAGAAAAGTGTCTGCTGACTCAGAATATCAAACTGAATGACTTCTGTTGTGAGTATTAAGAGAGGCTGTGTTGAGCCGTAAGCTTCTCTTCAAAAAGCTCTGATGTTCTTAGCAGTCCGGGGCAAGGCCGTCATCTCACAGCGGTAGGAAGCATTTAGGTTTCACAAACCACAAATATTTCTGGTGAAGCTCTGAGGAAGTAGACCTTGAGAATGCCTAGTATCTTACTTTACTTTTGATCTCACTCGACCTCTTGTGGGTTTATGATGAGTAATGTCTCTGTGAGCAAAGACCAATGTGTGCTTTTTGCATTTGTGTGTCTGACTTTAGATACTAATTGAACACATTTCCCTATCTGTTTCACAGCCGGGGAAGCAGAAAAAGAAGTTCTCCTCGTTTTTTAAGAGCCTGGTGATCGAGCTGGACAAAGACCTGTACGGTCCTGACAACCACCTGGTTGAGGTTAGTTCAAACACTCTGTCAACAGAGGAAGTCAACATTCTATCAATATCTCTGATCGAGTGTTACAAAAATTAAGTTTTGCACTGTCCCAAAGATTACAAATATATTCTAAAAAGATATACATATATATATACTAACAAACATACACAAATTAAAGATACAAATATAAAAAAGGCATATAAATATATAGAACTAACAGGAAGATTAACACAGATGAGTATATGACTATGAATGAATATGACAACCCTTACAAATGTACACAAGTACAGCAATCACTGTCCATAGCAACTGGTGGAGAGAAAGAGAGTGTGTGTGTGTGTGTGTGTGTGTGTGTGTGTGTGTGTGTGTGTGTGTGTGTGAGAGAGAGAGAGAGAGAGAGTGTGTGTGTGTGTGTGTGTGTGTGTGTGTGTGTGTGTGTGTGTGTGTGTGTGTGTTTGAGTGTNCTCCTCCCCTGCCCGGCTGTTTCTCGTCTCGTGATTACCCCTCCCTGTATTTAGTCTTGTCTCTTCCTGTGTTCAGTGTTGGTTTGTGACTGAGTTCACCGGGGAGTGTTCTGTTTTGTCCAAGTTATTATTTTATCCTTGAAATAAAGGCAATATCAGTGTAATCTGCATTTGGGTCCTGCTTGCTTCACCCACCGTAACAGGGTCACCCACAATTCACAGTGCTCTGCTTGTGATGTAAAGGTCCAGGAGGGAGGCACCAATGATCCTCTCAGCAGTGTTCAGCATGCGCTGCAGAGAGCAAACAGTGATGTTAGAGCCAGTACTTTGTCTTTATAAAAAGGGCCACCTAGTTGTGACGTCATGAGTCAAAACCTTTCTGAAAGACGCTGTCGAGGCACCAATTTTAACCCTTTAAGTTACCGTTAAAGTTCTACAAGCCTATACAAAGAATGAAAGAAAGACCTCCTAAGGTATTATTTGATTTGAGTTTTGTTTGATTTGTTTTGACTATTGTAAAGGCCTGTTTTCGTTCTGTGAAAAGTTTGTGATTTTCTTTTAAGTAAAAGCACCTAGCACAATATCAACACACCACCGGAGGGCAAGCAAGTCATCCCAAATAAAGTAAAGCAGACTGATTGAAGGGAAATGCGTTAGAGATGTCTGTTTAAGGCGTCTAAGTGGCTTGATGGAAAACAAAGGAAGGACGCTGCGACAGGCTGTTGTACAAATGAAACCATCCCAATCAAACATATTATTAATGAGCTTCAGGTGTGAGTGTAATCACAAGTGATGCTGATTTCCTTAACGAGGGTTCCGCTCGTTAACACACCTGTTGTCCACCCACTCAGGTGTTTTTAATTATGTTGCCTGATTTGACCTTTTCAAAGCAGCTGTTTTATTTGACGCTGTCTCTTTAAAATGTGTTTTTTCTCTGAGTGGGTCATTGCTTTTCACTTGAGATCACATCTATTAGCAAAACAGAGCTTTTGTATGCGGCACTAATCAGTGAATATGGCTGTATATTCATGCAGTCAGGGTCAGTGACGGCCTCTTCATCTTGCAGGGGAGAGATTTTTTACTGAATATGTTATTTTGTGAAGTCTTGTTGAGTAACCCTTCTAACCTTCTGCTTATTTTTTACATCTCCTTCGGATGAATACAAAATAAAACAGACTGAGAGAGCGAACTGCCCTCTTCCCTCATTAATAACTTGATGTTTTCGTACCATTTAAAAAAAGGCTTTATTTTCAAAATGCAAGGTTGTGTTAACACACAGCTGTGAGAGCCTGAGAAGACAAGTGCTTGGCTATTAAAAACATCATTAGCTGGCCTACACTTTGTATCTCCACAGAATGAGACTTTAAAAAAACACACCTTTTAAGAGCGCCAAAGTGAAAAAATTACGACTTCCCAAGGTCCTCCTTTTTAGTGGGTATTTTGGCATGGCACTCAGATGGAAACGCTTTGAATGATTTTTAATAAAAAAAAAGATTTCTCTCTACCTTGAGGTACAATCAGTATCTGATCTGCTCTAATTGAGTTGCTCGCTGAAGGACAGAATTATTCTGTCCAAGTTACTTGTCCTAAAGATGGTGCTTAAAGTGCTTTTCTTTTCAGCTGGTAAGATAAAAGTATTTCAACTGTGGTTAGATAGAGAGGAGGTTCTGATATGCATAATCACAAAGACTAAAGCACAGAATCTTTATTGTATTCTTTCCGGGCTAATGTTAAGTCTTTCTGGTGTTAGTCTGCAGGACAGTGTGATCTTGTGTGTGATATCATTGGTACACATCCCCATGGTTACCCTATTACTGTCTTGGTTTCTCAGCACTCTCTGCATGGCTAGTTTAAAAAAATGTAACCTTTGACTAAACCACATGCTTTGCACTCCAGGTCAAGATCAAGGCAGCTAAAAACAGGTGCCTTCAGATGACTTATTTCTATCTGTTAATTATGTCATATCCTCTTCCGCGAACAGTCTGCAGTTTCTCTAGAACATTAAATATGAACCGGTAATCAAAGTTAAAGCTCAGAGATTAACGTGCTAAAAGGCTTATGTTTAGAAGATGTAATGTTTACCATTTCGTTAAGAGGAAGAAGAAGATATACTTTATTTTTAGCATGCTGTTATTTGATAGTTAGCACTAACACAAAGTACAGCTAAGGAATTATAATTCGTTCTTGCAGTTAATTAGTTACAATTAATGAATAATATAATCATTAAATACAAAAAGTGAGTGGTAATACGCACAATTGGCCTGCATACATACACTATATACAGTGTGCAGTATGTTTATTTTAAAGGTCCCCTATTATACTCTTTTAAAACAATATACTATAGGTCCCAGATATACACGAAAGTTGATCTGCCCTGAATCTTTATTCCTGAAACTTTCCGAATCTCTTTACACAGTGGAGACTCACATAATATGTGACACATTCATGTATAAAAGACATGACAATATGCATAATAGGTGACCTTTAAGAATGATGGGTGATATGTAACTGTTAAAAGAGACATATTATGCTTATTTTCATGTTAATTATTCTATTATAAGAAATTGTTTCAATGATTTAATGTTCCAAAAACACATTATTTTGCTAACACCTTCTGCCAGAATATACCTGCATTCATCCATTATAACGCCTATGTCTTTAAGCCCCCCCCCCGCTCCTGGAAAAAGCCTGCTCTGACTAAGTGATTCAGGGTCTTCAGAATCTGTGCTCTCACTTTATTTAAATCACTTTTTAGAATATGGGACAGTGTATATTTTAATATTCTTGTAATTTGTAGTTTATTTGATGTTAAAGTGTTTGTTGCAGAAAAAACATGATTTAAATGATTGTTGCCTCTAAAGCAGTAATTAATTATGTTTCAATAAGTGAAACAAAACAACATTTCCATTCAGTCTGAATAAACCACCTCAGTTTGGGGTGTGTAGTCATTGTATGGTGGCTCGCTTTTACAGTGGCACCGCACGGGCACCACGCAGGAGACGGACGGCTTCCAGGTGAAGAGGCCGGGGGACGTGAGCGTGCGCTGCACCCTGCTGCTGATGCTGGACTACCAGGTGAGGGCGCCACCCCCCTCACAACTCTGACAACAATCCATGACATCTTTCAGGCCTCAAAAGTGTTTTAATGCGGTCCTATTGTCCCCGCAGCCCCCCCAGTTTAAGCTGGACCCTCGTCTGGCGCGCCTGCTGGGCATCCACACTCAGACCCGCTCCTGTATCATCCAGGCGCTCTGGCAATACGTCAAGACCAACAAGCTGCAGGACTCTCATGACAAGGAGTACATCAACTGTGACAAGTACTTCCAACAGGTATGGGACTCTATGTGGAATAAATCATACAGTTGTTTAATATTTCATTCCCTACACTCTTAATGTAAATAATATCCTGCTTTATATTGTGTCTAAAGCCCTTCAATTTGTTTTTATGCTGCAATTTGGGATCAATAAAGTACCTCTTATCTTATCTTTTAAATATGCTGCTGAAAATAACTAGGAAAACACGAGTACTATGAAATATATCTACCTTGCAATACTGACTGCTACTTGTAATTTCTAAAATATACATCATACACACTCAACCTTATGATGCTTTCTACAATTCCAGTCAAAACAATCAGTGTGCTCACTCGTTCTCAAACATTTTAAAATACATTTTAACACCTAAAGGAAACTACTTACCAACAATTATATTTGACCCTCCTCTCCAGATCTTCGACTGCCCTCGGCTGAAGTTCTCTGAGATCCCTCAACGCCTAACCAACCTCCTCTTGCCCCCAGACCCCATCGTCATCAACCATGTGATCAGGTAGAATCCTTTCTTCTAATCCTTATTCAACAAGGAAAAGTTGTATTGAGGTTCAACTGTATTATGCATGCTTCATGGAAAAGATAGGCAGTCAACACAATGAATGGGAAGTAACCAAAATGTGTCTTTAAGCATTTTTTGACATAGTTTTGATGTTTGTTTCCTGTCAGCGTGGATCCCAACGACCAGAAGAAGACGGCCTGCTACGACATAGACGTGGAGGTGGAAGACCCTCTGAAGGGGCAGATGAGCAGCTTCCTGCTCTCCACCGCCAACCAGCAGGAGATCGCCACCCTGGACAACAAGGTGAGCCTCACAGAACACACACTGAGGAGCGATTCAGCTTCGATGTGTAGATCTAACTCAGGAGCTAACTGAGCAGCCACATGGGAACAACCAGATGTATTGCATATATTTTGAACCGAAGCGTTACAGGTAGTTACTTGTGATGAATCCCACACCATTATGTGGGGCCAAGATTTATGTTTCACAGACAGATTTAAACTTTTAAACTGACATTTGTTGCTGTGTTTGAGCTTGAAGGCCAAAAGAAAAGTCAGAAATACATTCTTCTCTTGTACAATTGGCATACAAATGGTAATAAATATATGGACACATTTTCGTTTTGTACTTTCTTTTTTAACTCTTTTGCATCAGCTTTTTGAAAGATTAATGTTTGTGCCAGTTTGTTGGCATTTAATATTCATGATGGCAGAGATATACCCATTTATATGTTATCCTTTCCTTTATCACATACACTTTTGAAAAGATCACCATATTTTATAAAAATCTATAAAGGCTACATTTCCTGAGGAATGTGTATTTCCTGTTTGTAAATGTTTAAAGACTTTTTTTCTGAGAGTGGATACAAAATCTTCATTTATTTTGTGACATTTTGGATCTATTTTAAATCAGGAAAATGGCATTTTCAGCTGTGGTTGTTGCTTTTTCTGACTTACAGTTTAAGGTTAAAGTATATTTTCCTGTTGTAAAGTATGTAACTGTTCCCCTTTCAGATCCATGAGACCATCGAGTCCATCAACCAGCTGAAGATCCAGAGGGACTTCATGCTCAGTTTCTCCAGAGACCCCAAGGGCTACATCCAGGACTGGCTCAAATCCCAGAGCCGGGACCTTAAGGTTAGATATTTAAACATACACACACACACACACACACACGCACACACACACACACACACACACGCACACGCACACACGCACACACACAGGCCCTCATGTGTGTCTCCTTTCCTAAGGAGCTGTAGTTACTGGTCACTTTGAATAACAAGTTTTGGCATACAAAACATTTTCTAATGTTATGAAATCTGATAAATTGATTAAACTATGTTAGAACATTTTAAAATGACTTGTTTTTTCCAGCTAAAACATAAAATCCATCTGTAATCATATAATCTCACAGTGAGATTCTATCTAGTAAGGAATTTTACTTTGACACTTTAAATACTTTCACTTGAATAACATTTTAAATACCATAGTTCAACTGACGTGGAGTCATTTTACACTGTGGCAGAATCAGAACAGAACTACACTCTAAAATTGGTTTATTGCGAAGTAGGTTTTCACTCAAAAGACATTTGCTTTGGGTGTATTGGTACATAACAAACTGAAAGATATATACTATATTGCTCTCTTTACTTAAATGTCAAATCCAAATACTTCTTATCATCCCTCACATCACATTTAATATTAAACATGGTTATTATGTAGTCTTATCATTAATGATTCTTCTCTTGTCTGTAGTTAATGACAGACGTGGTGGGGAATCCTGAGGAGGAGAGGAGGGCGGAGTTTTACCACGAGCCCTGGTCCCAGGAGGCTGTCAGCCGCTATTTCTACTGCAAGGTGAGGAACTGTCGTCTTCTCTCACTTCACAACGACTCCAGATCCGCCTCTAGATGTTTTGTGACATATTTCCTTTTTTTCTGAATAGATCCAGCAGAGGAGACAGGAGCTGGAAACGGCCTTAGCTGTCCGTAACACCTAAAACAAGGCCCTCCTGAATCACCCCCACTGATTTCCTGTGTGTTTGGAGGCCATCGCTGTAGTTTGGTGAAACTTCATAAACGGTCATAAAAGAAAATGCAATTTCTGAGGTTTCCCAAAGTTTAAAAATGAAGTGAAATGAGGGCGAGTTTTTCTCACGGCGGACGCGATGGAAGCCCTGATGCACATATTTGTCCCGTTTTGTGCAGCACTGTGAAGGCATCATCATTTCCCGCATGTGTTCAGCTGCGCCCGCAAAGGTCAAGCCCCTCAGACCACAAGCATCCAAAACTAAAGCCCCCTACTCTCCGCTTCTTTAAATACGTCACACACACGTCGAGAAAAACTCTGACCGGCTGCAAACACACCGCCATGTTTTTGGATCTCAAAACAAACACGATGTGACTCTTCGCTCTTGATGGGTCTTCATATTTTATGTTCCCCAAGGTTTCCTGTAACTGATTTATTGTTTGATTCTAAGTGTGTGTTTTTGTTTCTGAAAGATTGATTTATGACACCAGCAAAGTGGAGATTACAAGTGTGACACATAGGGAATCAATTCTATCTAGAAACCTGAGATTTAATTCACTTTCAGGTTGGAGTGAATCAAATGGAAATGTGTCTCATTTAAAGGTAGGGTAGGTAAGAATGGAGAAACCAGCTCGAGTGCGCTAGAATTACGCAGCCGAAAAAAATCTGCCCCTTCCTTCAGACTTCCTTACAGAGCCCCTCCTCCAACACACACGAATGCGCACATGACCAATAAGGGCACGAGATAAGTTTGTGCACGAGATGGAAGGCTGACAGGCAGGTAGGCCATCCAGTTATTTTAGCCGGGCCGGCTAAAATGATTGGTCGTGCTTTTTACAGCGCCACGGCTTCCACAGATTAATTTTTTATGTATTTATTCATTGTCAAAGCATTTAATGTATTCATTGCTATCGGGATGTTAAGAGCATTCCATGGAATATAACAAAAAGTGTTTCTGAAGTGAATTACCTACCCCACCTTTAAGTTGTATTTGCCAGTCATTCTTACAACAGTATTAGATAAGAGCTGAAGTATTACCACAGCGAGAATAGTGTTTTAATGAAGGAGTATTGATCATAATAATAAGAGTTGTTTCTTCCCTAATCATAGCTAACGACAAATATGCCTATACATGTTGGGACTTGTTTTTGTCAGAGTCGCTCACTGCCTCTTCCTTGTGTATTTTGCCAGTAAATGTAAAGGTATTACCAAAGGTTGCAACGAGAAGAAGAGAACATGATCACTGAAACAGAAGTGGGCAACGATCCTCACCTGGGTTTAACAGAAATTGCAAAACATTTCCATGTAAGGTGGTCATAAAAATCTGAACAATCTGGGTAGTTCCAGAGAGGATTTATTTCCAAATGTTTAGATTTTCTAGCCAATTAGGCCTCAGGTCTTTGTAAACAAACCCTGAAACTGTTATTGTAATGAACACTTAAACCCAGGTCTGGAGGATTTTGTCCATTTCTACACTTTTTATGTTACATGAAGAAGAAAAACACTTTTCTTCTTTAGAGATGTGAATGTAAATATGTGTTTCCCCCTTAAGAGGTCCAACTGTACAGGATACCGCAGACTATTTGTGTGTTTGTTTTTGGATTTGGGGAGGATGGGGGGGAGCTGAGTGGTGCATTATGGGAGATCCATGCGATTTGAATTAGTAGGGCAGGAATGTTAGTGTTCCTCTGTGTACTATCTTGGGTTGGGGGGGATTTATTTTGGGTATATCGTGGGAGCTGAAACAAAGAAAGACCTCCCTCAATCTCAGTAGCTGTAACACGATGTAATCTGCACCGATCTCCTTTTACACTTTTTTTAACGACACTTGACTTGTATGTATATGTTGTAATGTCAGATGGAGGGTTTTGTTCCTCTCTCTCAGCAGTCAGTTTCTAGCTGGAACCTTTTCTGGGTTCCTTTGCACTGTGCTGTGTCTCTTTTACCGGGACTTTTCTCGTCATGGGTGAGACCCTCTTTATAATCCCAGCGTACACAAAAAGTGATCGAACGACGACCTATGCATGCTACATGGACTTTAATTAACACATCTGATGAGATATGTACATATATATAAAAAAAAAAAAAAAGCTGGCAGTCTGTGTGAAAAAACCCTTCAGTTGAAATGCCTTCTGGAAACTTTTTGCCAAAAATGATATGCCCTACCAGCAACTAACTGTAGGTGTGATTTTCTGAGCTATGTTTTTGTTACTAGGACTAAGTTATATTAACTGCACTCATTAGAAGAGAAACAGTAGTCATTTGTAGTATGCTAGTCCTGACCAGGGGTGATTTGTCTTTGTATGGCCAGGGCATTCACATGGTTGTCATACAGTCACTGATTCACTTGCACCCTCTTGTGGAGGAAACTAGAAGCTCCGGGGTGACCTCTGCCTCAAGCGGCTCAGTGTCAGAATATCCTGACACTGTTACTGTTACTAAACCCTGACATACTGTTGACATGTCCCACTCCCTGCATGTGTTTGAGAGAGTGGGAACCGCTCTCTCTCTGTTTACACTGTTGTCAGAGCGTCACCAACAGGGAGGGAGTAGTATACATTACACTGTATATCTATGAACTGGTGATTCTACACACACAAAAAGAAGAAGAAAAAGGGAAAAAGCAGCTGTGACATTGCAAGACAGCCTGGATGTAAATAAAGAAGCGCTTGCCAAAGTTTGTAAATGCCATGATATGTGGAGTGTCTTTTTTTCACCTTTCTGTTGAAGTGGAGGTCATTTTTTATTCAATCCAAAATGACAAACTTTACAAAGGTTCACTCTTTACAAAAAGTATGTATTAATGTGTTAAACTCAGCCTCTTAAGTAGAAGCATAAAGTAGAATTAAATGGGAATCCTACCCCAAAATCAAACTCAAGTGCAATACTTAAATGAATGTACTTCCATACATTACACCACTGCCTAAGGTTGCTTATATTATATCATTTTTTTTTAAAGAGCAATGCTACAATTTCTTATCAGCACCTTTTAAAAATATATATCTGCAGTATTACTGATATACTTACATGGTAAATGTCATTGCGATTAAGGCAAGATATGAGGCAGTTGAAGTGTTACTTGTTTCTACATCTAGGTTATAAAATAAATACCTTTTCATCATAGAGGGATGTGGATGAATAAGGATGGTGATACATCTAGCTATTTATTTTATTATATAATATGATTTCATAACACGTCGTACTGCTGCATTGAACTTAATTGACATTTGATGAGTAATACTCAAAGGAACGTGTATGACACATTTTAAATCTGCCACTAAACTAGGGATTACCTGCAGGATAAACAGAGATGTCACGGAATTAATGAAGACTTCAATTTGATTTTAATTAATCTATTTTCCAGTTTTTTTTAATCTGCTGACACTTTAGCCCTTACCTTAATAAACAACATACCCAAGCCTTGCCCACAATAACAGAAACCTGAGATACAGTACCAATGGGTATTCGGATTTAAAAAATGTTTATACTCAAACATTTAGGGGCAAAATGTTATATTAATATCTTTATTTTTTAAGATGTTTATTCTATCTTCCAAATCAATGCAATAAGTAATAATGTAATCATTTTTGCCCTTCTAAATTAACCCCCTCCAAAAGAACACTCTCATACTGATAAAGTGTTGATTTTGTGCTACATTTTCCTTCCTGAGCTGGCCGTCCCCAGAAGGTGGCAGACAGGCTTCTTATTGTTCCCTGACCTCACTGTGAGGAAGCAGGTGGAGGGCCTTTTCCACGGCGCAGTGCAGTGGTGGTGTAACGCTGACTGCTGCCCCCTCCCCACCTCAGAAAGAACCTCTTTCACTCTGCTGCTACCCTATTCTCCCGACAAATATCACATGGAGAAGTTTGGCATGTGGGGGGAGTTTCAGGGTGCCATCGTCTCACCTCTTTAGAGACGAGGAGGGAGTGTGAAGTAAGCCATTCAGCTTTTTTCGACCTCAGAGGGGTTAACCACCCACACCACGGAGGACCTTGGCATGGGAGTTACGACCCTCCCTCTGGGCGCTGGGTTCACTTCTCTCCCTAAAGACATGTGTAAAGAATACTCGCCCAAATCCAGGGAGGCCCGGGCCGGGGTGGAGATTTACTGACTTAATGTGGGGAGACGAGGCGGGGCAGGCTTCTTGGAACAAACTGTTCACTGCCTCCAGGCGCTGCAGTGTAGCTTTTACGCAATCCGGAAAGACTACATTGAATTAATTTAATATGAGCACGCCATCATCATCCCTACGGAGAAACTGTTCAAGCATGCTCCTACAAACTGCTATTGAAACACACACACTGTATGAATGAAGAAACAACACTGAGCTTAAATATCACTCTTTAATACCTCTTTAAAAAAAAGAAAAGGCAGCCAGCGGCTTCAGCTTGTTACCAGTATCATTTTAAACATCTTCAAATAAGGAAGACTTATGGCTCAAGGTTTTCCCTCAACAAAGAAGGCCTTTGTTCATTTGCTATCAAGACACAACCTCATAGAATTGGACTATAAATATGTTTTGCTCAGCTCTTATAAGAATACATCAATGGCAGGGATACAAGTGACAGTAGTCGACGTTCGGACGCCTCCATGACTCATAGTTCGTCTAGACACAAGTCACGACAGTCAGTTATTGACTCGTAAGTCAGAAGTAATGAGGAGAGAGATTTTCAGCTGTAGGAACTGACGCATCACAACACATTTGCTCTGTTAAAGTGTTGTGTTCTCCTAAGTTTTATTTAACTTTAGCCTCATTCTCTTTCTGCAAAATACAAGGGCGTGAATTACAGTATATGGATCACTAAGTTCCCATATTATTATTCACATGTTCTGCGTGAGTATCCTTTAGTCAAGGCAGTATGTTTGTGGTGCACCCAACAAGTCTCTTAGGTGCTGTTGGCTTGCTCTTGTTCAAAAATAGCCATAGCTAGATGTGAGCGGGAGCCCAGGCCCTCCAGGTTGCTGAGGACACAGCGGTGGTAGATATCCTCGCTGAATCGTGGGTTGCACGCTCGCCGCACGTATTTCTGGATCAACGCGGGCTCTACGGCTCTGAACACATGTAGGCCCGAGTAACGGACAAATATGTCGTACACGTCCATGCTTTCCAGCAGCTCCTCGTTGTCCAAGATGTCAGCTGCCATCTTGGTCCTCGCGGTCATGTAGTCAGCGTTGTAAAAACAAGCCTCGTCGAAGACTTGCCGGTCAAAGTGTCCGTCTCGCAGCGACTCAGAAGCGAAAGAGGAGGAGGCCGCAGAGGGCGGCTGGTCGCGGTACATGACAGCGGGACTGTACTCCTGGAAGTGGATGGGGAAGAAGATCTGCCAGTTGCTGATAGCGTTCATTCTGCAGCGATTCAGGAAGTCGGCGTTGACCTCTGTCCACACGCTGGCGAGGAAAAACAGCGTGTCCACTGGGTGCTTCTTGGAGATAATGTCCATCAGCTTGACCTGTGAGGGCACCTCCGTCTTCACGCTGATCCAGGGGATCTTCACGTCACCGTAACGCTTCTCCACCTCCCCAATCATGGCCTTGATGCCGGCAAACACATCTGTCTGGCTGACTCTCTGAGCGTCAAAAGGATCGTAGATGAACAGGAACGTCAGTAAAACATTGTCATGGGTGTCCAACGTGTTCATCACGTACATGTCGAGGAAGTTACCAACAAAGTCCTGATCCTGGGCGGTGACGGGGAGGATGACCTGCACACGCGTCGCCTCCGTCACATAGGGCATTGGGATGATTTCCACTGCGCTTAAAGGCCGCAATAAGTTAACCCGTTTGGCAATGACTTGACTGTGGCCTTTCTGGGTGTATGCCTCCAGTGCAAGGTCCAGAACATACTCCATTCCACGCGTGGGGTCAAACCGCCGGTAACCGTTAAGTAGGCGGCGCTTGTGGAAGCGTAGCTGGGGCTGGTAGCGTTCATTCAGACGCTCCACCGCGATCTCCAGAACTGCGTTTACATCAGCACGGTCAGCCCCTCTCATCTCGCACTTCGGGGAGCTGTCAATGCACGAGTAAATATGCTCTTCGGTAAAGTACTCCCAGTTTATAACCTCAAAACGGGTTTTCGGTTTGAAGGGAGCGTTGATTCCAATAGGCCATGTGACTCCAGCTTTACCCTCTGGCGTCAAATCACTCAGGTTGTTGATCTGCACCTGATGAGTAGACACACAAATCTGTCAAGATTCAAATCAAAGCCAAGAAGGACCACACTGTCTAGTGTGCAAACATTTGCGTTTATGACGTGTGTGATTGCTCTGTGGCGTATTTTAAGTTGAGTCAACACAGAGAAAATGAACTATCATTAGCAGCTACTTTAATCACATAGTAATGCTTCTCAGGCAGATCCTATACACAGGATGATGACACTGGAATGTAACACTTCATGCCCTAGCAAAAGACTTCAATCCAATGTCTTGGCTTTCAGACATGTTTAAATATTGCATGCGCCAGGAATGTATGCCTTGGCTCTGAAAATCTGGGTGTGGTGGAGATGAGAGCAAACATTATACTTTCATACTGAACTCATCACCAAAGCAGCCAACTGAAAGTGTATAATCAAATAAAAGTTTAAATTTAAGAGATAGCAGTGTTAAAGAATACAAACCTGCAGATGTTGAATCTGTTGGTAAGTCCTTTCCAGCTCAATCTGACTGAAGCGTTTGTGTAGGCGGTACATGAGGTTTGGTTCCGATATAGGATGGACTGTGAAGGCATTTTTAAACTGTATGCTATCTTCACGTTCTGGATCTGCATTTTTCCCGAGCTCGAAGTAACGATATGTCATCTCCTGTGAACCACACAGAAGTCGACAAAGAAAATAAATGTTAGATAATATGCAGATAAAAATCATGTGTGAATTTAATGAATAAAACTAGTCTCTTTTGAAGCACATTCTTTAAATGTATGTCCATGCATGTGTCTGTACCTGGTGAACCTCCACGCAACTGAGACCCAAGTAATCAATAATGCAGCGACCCAGCCACTCATCAGGCCTCACACTGAGGATGTCATTGCGGCAGGTGTCAAGGTGGGGTTGCAGACGTGCTAGCAGACTGCGGGACAGCAGGTAGCCATACCCGCCGTGGCAATAGCGTGCTTTCTCTTCTCCACCTATAAACTCCTCCGCCCTGCCCATATACAGGTCCTGACCTGCACTGAGGTGGCCCACCAGCTCTGTCAGACGATTTGCTTGTATGTAGGTGTCATCCTGGGATAGGAGGAACCAGTCATAGTCAGAGCCGTAGTGCCGATGGAGGTGACGCACTGTCTCGTACATCAGCCAAACTGGACGGTCGTCGCCGTGGGCAACCACAGTCATGCCATGAGGCACCTTAGGGCTGCGCAGGCCTGTGAAGAAAAAGGTGCGATGGAAGTGGTGGGCAATAGTGCGATTCACTGCCACGGCCAGTGTGTTGAGGGTAGCCCGGGAAGTCAGAACTCCCGCCAGCAGCCGCTCTCTGATGCCCAGTTCTGTGTGGATATAACGAGTCCTGGAGAGGGGAAGTAAAGAAGGTTAAAAAAAGAAATATGACATTAAATCACAAACACAATAAAGGTGATAATATCTCATTAAAGTCCGTTTCGTTACATCACAAAAAATATATAGATTTCAACAGAATTAAACTTACATAAATCGTAAAAACAACATTTTGAATAGGACATGAAATACTTTGAATCATTTATCCAAATGTACTGTACAAGTCTGTTTGTTGTCTTTATAAAGAGATTTAATCTATAATCTATCAACCACCTGTACTGTAACCCAATCAGTGCATTTAGATTATTGCAGGGGATAATTCAGTGTAAGCCTATTAAATTGAGGATGGAGTGTTTTGAAACAATATGGTAAGATATAAAGTAATTTGATGTGTTGCTTCTTTTTCAAATCTGTCTTAAAATGTGTTGAATAAAGTAACAGGCTGCAAAAGTATCTACTATGCATGTTGTTCTACACCATTGAGAAACTATTTGCACAATTCTTTATAATATATCATCTACATTTTATATTGTTGAGGATTTTTTTTTCTTTCATATGGGATCATGACAGAAGCACAACTTTAACACTAACCTTAGAACTTTCTTGTGGGGCTTGTTTGGGTCCTTGTGATATGGAATGATACGTGGCTGGAAGTCTTCCTCTCCAGCACCATCTCTCGAGTCTCTCTGGGCATCTCCTCTGCCCATAAAAAGTCTCCCGTTGCCCAGTTCATCTCCACAGGAGTCATCGGTATCACCTTGTGTCCAGGACACCATTAAAAGGCTCAAACTACATCCCAGAGATAGCCCGAGGATAAGGGGTAAAGCAGGCCTGAACAGGGCCAAAACTGAGGAAAGACGCATATCTAGTAGTTATGAGCTACACTTGATGAGGTAGTTCTGGAAAACTTAACTACCTACAGATGTGTCAACTCTCCTGCCCTAATGGAAGACATTTAGCCATTCAAGGAGCTATGTTAGGGGAAACTGAATTATTGACACATACAAAAAGGTGCCTCAAATGTCACATAGTAGCTCTTTCTTCAGTCCCATCCGCTGAGGTAGTCGTTACGAGATTTATATAAAGCATTTGATGTTAACGTTTAGTTACCTAGTAATAAACTACTTATTTTCCATGTGTAAAATAGTACGTTTTATCATGGTAGAAGATACATTATGTTTAAATGTAAAGGTGACGGTTTCGTCGTTTCGTCAAAACAAATAATTGCAAATATATTAACACTATCAACATTTATTGCGACGTAACAGTTGTGTAACAACAAAGCAAGCCGTTTATGTTAGTCACTGCCATGTAAACTGTGTAGTGTTACTCTGGGTATTCCGTGACTTTTGAGCTAACGTTGTGGTAATTAGCTTAACTAATTCTTGCTAGGGTTAACACACCAACAGCTACCTCTAAAGTCAGCTAAGTAATGTACCGTTAGCAAAACGCTAAATAACACCTGGTAAAGTTGTCCATTTGAGTTACGTTACTCTATTAAATAAAGAATAGAAAATCGAAGAAAGAGGACTTGAAAATAGTAAATATTGTTCCAGAAATCATAACCTCAACAGTAACGTTAGGTCGGAAAAACAAATCAAATCAAAGAGCAAGCTAGCAAAGAAGCTAGCATCTTGTTTTAGTCCCGATATATCTCCCTCGATCCTGTCCACGAACACTGACTTGAAGGCATTAGGTCCCATTATTCATCGTTGATACAGGTACAAATCCTCCAAGCATAGCCATCCACATATCGTCCGTTTCCTGAAGTTTCTTGACTTCCTCAACATTTGAGTGCCACACACACAGGGTGGAATAACGTCTCTCTCACGTATGGGTTTACCCTCATCATCACTGATATAGCCTATGCTGCTGCAGCATCACCTGCTATGACTGAATGAAAGGACCTATGTTTTTGCGATAAGGATTACTTACGACAGAGTACCCAACACCACACCAAGAGAGTATCGTATTTATATGGTGTATAATTACAGTTAAAATGTGTCAAGATATGTGTATTTATAAAGATGCGATAACGTGTATAAACCTTATCAGTTTGGTTACACCTCATAAAATGACCATATATCCATCACAACATCATTCGTTTTATTCCCAGGTTTACTAGCTATAACTTAGTCGATGTCTAGTTAGTCATAATGAATAACAAAAGTATTGTTTCCGATTGAGAAATAAAGTATGTGACTCATTTTGTATGAAAACGGGACATTTTACTGCAGTCCCACGAGAAGGGGAGGTAACATCTATTCTCGCCGCCCTCTTTGACCATATATGGACTGTCTGGCGGTTTGACGTACGGCTACATCCACCCGGCAAAAGTGGACACGAGACATCGGTGTGCTCCGGAGACCAGTTTTTCATTTTCTAGGTAAGATATATATTTACGATGTATGACAATTACGACTCAAATAGCCAGGATAAGCTGGTTAAAGACAAAATAAATAATATGATTGAAAAACAAAAAATCCGCCGAATTAGCCGCATTCAGCTGGTTGGGCCTTTCGTCAAGTTAGCTTTAGCTTCACAGGCCTCTCAGCTGTAGTTAGCAACCGTTGTTAGCTTAGCTAGAGAACTCACGTTTAAGCAGTAAACGGCTGGTTTATTAATACTGATATAATCTATTTCCTATGTATGACGTAATGTCTTTATCAGCTAACACATTTGTTTTAATATTTTCGTAGATTAGTTTTACTCGGATCTGAAAAAATCTACCGGTAATTCTAAGAGCATCAGCTACCGTTAGCTTCTAAAAGTATGGCCACCAGGCTTTTTAATGTGACGAGACCAACGTGCAAGCAGGTGGGATTGGAAGGAATCTAAATGCGGTCGTGGTTAGCATTGTCACTATCATAAACTATCTATATGCTTTACCGTTAATCATTTCGGATATATAATAACGTTAGCCTTTGATTTCATTCTTTTTAATTCGTTGAATTTCACGACCGGCATTTGTGTGACGCTACATCACCGGCGAATGTTCTAGGCCACTTTCCGTAAGCCATTAGCCACCCAGTTGTGTAATCTCATTATACCAGTAAGAAGTATTCACAATATTTAGCAATTATCAAACAACTCAGAATCGGGATATGGTATATATCCCATCATCTGTATTAAAAGAGAATAAGAGTGTTGATCTGTTTGTCCTTTTTCGATGTTGAATAGGCTATCGCAACCATGCCATCCGACTTAGCTAAAAAGAAGGCAGCGAAGAAGAAGGAGGCTGCCAAAGGTCGCGGGCGTACCAAGAAAACTGATGAACTAGAGGATGGTGATCAACCAGAGGCCCAGTCCAATGGAGCACAGAGCAATGGTGAGAGGACTTATCTTTGAGTAAATGTTATAAGTTGTGATGTACTACGTTTTCACCTTTACAATGTCTTAATGTCTAGCTTGAAATATTGGAAAATTATGACACAGATTAATTTTTTTTTTTTTACAGGAATTGCCAGTTTGACAAAGGAGATTGATGAATTTGAACTGGCAAAGACAGAGGCGAGGGCTGTGACAGGCGTTCTGTCATCACACCCCAACAGCACTGATGTCCATGTTACCAGCCTGTCGCTCACCTTCCATGGGCAAGAACTGCTCACAGACACCAGCCTGGAGCTCAACTCAGGAAGACGCTATGGTCTCATGGGCCTGAATGGCACAGGTAAAATGTCTCTTAAGTAGTATTACTAAGTAGCCTGTACATTTGCAGTGCCTGGTGTACATTTTAGGAACTTGGATATTCAAACTGCTAATTTACAGCATTTACCTATTTTACAAGGGGATTACTGTTGCTCAGAATATATTGTTCCAAGGGAACCTTGTCAGGGAAAATTTAATAATCATATCTTCTTTTATCTGCCAGGAAAATCCATGCTGCTGTCTGCCATTGCCTCTCGTGAGATCCCCATTCCAGAGCACATCGATATTTACCACTTGACCCGGGAGATGCCCACCAGCGATAAGACTGCTCTGTACTGCGTCATGGAGGTTGATGAACAGAGGATTATGCTGGAAAGGGAGGCAGAGAGACTTGCCTCTGAGGACTGTGAGTTACACATGATGTACCAAGCAATGACTTCAGAGGGGAAATGTATTGTCAGAGGCAACAAACAGAATGCTGAGATATATTTAACAAGACACACCCTATTTTGAGTGAACATAACTCCAAGCAAAGACAATATAAACGGTATACATCACTTATCGTGGTTCTTAAGCTACATTGATTGAAATCGAAATTGAATTCCTTTCTCCCCTTGCATAGCCGAGTGTGAGAAGCTGATGGAGCTGTATGAGCGTCTCGAGGAATTGGATGCAGCCAAGGCAGAGGTGCGAGCGTCTCGCATCCTCCATGGTTTGGGTTTCACAGCTTCAATGCAGCAGCAGAAAATGAAGGACTTCAGTGGAGGATGGAGGATGCGAGTTGCTCTGGCCAGGTAAAGTGCTCAATATTAAACCATTCAGTGACATGATTTGATGCCACCTTCCTCTATCTGCATACATTTGAATTTAACCAGGGGATTCAGAGGATTATACTGTTCAATTTGTACAATACTACATTCAGAGGCAGATATTTTTTAGGCGGTGTGCTCTTTGATTAGCAATGCTTGTCAAGGGTGTAGATCTGAGAATGTAGGTTTTTCTGAATAATAAATAAAAAGTTAACTAAAAATTACAAATCAAAATTGTGTAATACCCACTTGGTGCTAAATTCAGATACATTTAATTATGGCAGAACTGCTTCTTGCAACATGTGTGCCTGGTCCAGAAAATGGATGTTTGCTGTTAGATTCAGACATTTTCTGAGGAATACCATTGTAACCTATGATTTTTCGCACATACAAAAAAAGGCAAAAACCATTGAAGAGAAGTAGTCCATATACCTTCCTGAATTGTAATATATAAAACTGACACCATGCAATTTTAGAAACGAATGGTAATTGAATAAGCCATTGAAGAGTTTATCTATACAGGACAAAAACAAGCTTCACATTTTAATGACTTTCCTATATTTCTGCAGAGCCCTGTTCATCAAACCCTTCATGCTGTTGCTGGACGAGCCCACCAACCACTTGGATCTGGATGCCTGTGTGTGGTTGGAGGCGGAGCTCAGTTCGTAAGTTTCCACCCTACTCCATCCCTTTTTACATCTGTCCTAACAGTCCAAATGTGTTGCTCATCCTGCTTCTTCTTGTCAGGTTCAAGAGAATCCTTGTGCTCATCTCACACTCCCAAGACTTCCTGAACGGCGTGTGCACCAACATCATCAACCTGCATTTGAAAAAGCTGAAGAACTATACGGTAAGAACAGCGGTCTGAAACCACTGATGGCTCCTAAAAATAAAATAACCGCATGAGCATCCCTTGGCACAACTTTAAAAGAATCTTGAATCTGGGGCAAGGCTGTAGCTAATTATGTGTCTGTGTGCTGCCCTGTATGATGACCATGCAAATGTATTTTTGGCTTTAAGGGTAACTATGACCAGTATGTAAAGACCAGAGAGGAGCTGGAAGAACACCAGATGAAGCGCTTCAACTGGGAACAGGACCAGATCACACACATGAAGGTAAATGAGAGACACCATGTGTTGGGATATTTCCACTGCAGCAATGCATAATTTGAAGGATAATCTTCCAGCAAGCGAACACATTTTTTGTTGACTTTGGACAAGATTTAGTCAATTCTTGCAGTACATTTTTTCACAACATGCATCCTTAATGTTTCTGTGACAGGAAATACATTTGACTAATGGTCATTTGTCCAATCAATACCTGTATTCATAGTTCTTTTTCAACCTCTCTCTCCTAGAATTACATTGCCAGGTTCGGTCACGGCTCTGCAAAGCTGGCTCGACAGGCTCAGAGCAAAGAGAAGACCCTGCAGAAGATGGTGGCCTCAGGCTTGACTGAAAAAGTTTCAAATGACAAGGTACTGTCATGATGACATGTGGTTTTTAAGACTTTTGACCAAGTGACATATTTTGTAAGTGTCCAGTGGCACATGTATACTATGGCACTAACACCTGCCTCTGTCTCCCACAGACTCTCACATTTTGTTTTCCTCCGTGTGGGAAGATTCCTCCTCCCGTTATCATGGTTCAGAATGTGAGCTTCAAATACAGTGACAATGCAGTAAGTACAGTTAATATTGTTGTCTTCATTAAAAGTTGTAAATCCTGGCTATTTCATCCTGTTAAAATAAAATGACTACAATAATTTATCAGGCTTTTTTAACAAGTTTAAGGCAAGCACGAAGTAGGCTATAGTCTTATCTTATGTCCTTTTTTATGTGATGTATAGAGACCTGGAGAAATCCTACATTGCTGTTATTTTTCTTTTTCTGGCAATGCAGTCTTATTTGTGTGTACTGTTAACTATTGGTGCTTTCATTACATTTGTAAGTTGGACATAGTGACTATGTAGGGAAAGACACAATACAGTCTAGGAGGCAGTTCAGAAAATGATCAATTTATTATAATGCAGCATTAAAATGAGGTCGGCGTCCATTTTTGAAAAGTGAACCCACATTTGCGTGGGTAAATCTGTCTCGCTGACCCTCTGCCAGTCCCTGACGTATAGCTACATTCTTCAGTCACTCACCTATTACTGTTTCCTATAGCCGCACATATATACAAACCTGGAGTTTGGTATTGACTTGGATACGCGAGTGGCTCTCGTGGGGCCCAATGGAGCAGGAAAGTCTACACTGCTGAAGCTGCTGATGGGAGAGGTGGGTACAGCGTTATTTTTCATATTTACTCACAACAACCTGGAGTTTGACAAGAGTATTGACGTTGGTTCTCTTCTTTTCATAGCTTCTTCCCACCGATGGCATGATCCGTAAACATTCTCACGTGAAGATCGGCAGATATCACCAGGTATAATACTGAGCCTTTGGACGGCACCTCAATATGCGTGCATGTGTCAATAATTACCGGTCATAACCTGTTAAAGAACAGAACATGTCGGTGATCCATTTGATTCATGCTAGGCTTCTATAGAAAGTGTATTTCCCTTTGAAACTAAATGTCTCCTATGTATCTACTTCTATTCCAGCATCTGACAGAGCAGCTGGAGCTAGACCTGTCTCCTTTGGACTACATGATGAAATGTTACCCTGCTTACAAAGACAGGGAGGAGATGAGGAAGCTCATTGGTCGCTACGGGTTGACAGGAAAACAGCAGGTAGGACTGGGATATCCATCCAGATGTTACAAAACAGGACATTTCCAAATGTATTTTTATCTTTCGGTCTCTTAATTTACACATGCGTTATTTTCCAGGTCAGCCCAATCAGGAACTTGTCCGATGGTCAGAAGTGCCGGGTGTGTTTTGCCTGGCTGGCCCAGCAGACCCCTCACATGCTGTTCCTTGACGAGCCCACCAATCACTTGGATATCGAGACTATCGACGCATTGGCAGACGCCATCAACGACTTTGAAGGCGGCATGATGCTAGTTAGCCACGACTTCAGGCTAATTCAGCAGGTATATATTTATCATTTTTATTAGACGACGATAAGATTTTAGTTTAACCTGTTGTAGCGAGCACCATTTATAATGTTTTTATTTATTTTTTCAGGTGGCTAAAGAGATCTGGGTGTGTGAGAAGCAAACCATCACAAAGTGGAATAGGGACATCCTGGCCTACAAGGAGCACTTGAAAAATAAGATCCAAAAGCAGGCGGTGCATGACATCTAAAGAAAAGTCCCTCAGACGCACTCCTTTATCTCATCATGGATTTGACCTGCAGGCTCCTGAAGGAAAAGGCAGGATTTACATTGGAAGGAAATGTCATAAACTAGAACTGAACCAATCTCTTATGCATCTTATTGGACATGTCTCTTGTACATGTTGTACTGTATTTCCATCTCGGTCCAAACACCCCCTCCCTCCCCATCCCCCTGCACTCTGATTGGCTGATTCACCTGAAGCATCTCAGTGCATTTTGGAATGCATTCCATTGTGCTGTCTTCATAGAAAAGTTTTATTTTTCCGAAATGTTCTGTTTTATCCCAACATGTATGCAGCAGCTTTTTAGGTCATATTATGATATTTCAAAGTTGACTTTTTTTTCCTGTCTAAAAGAGCAGTTCTGCCTTATTTAACAATGTAATGCAATAAAGGTTTGCCTGAATAAACGGAACATAAAAACAGCATATTCGACTTCAGAAGATTTTAATATTTTTATTACACATAATGAATACAGTGATCGTATCCAAAAGCCTTTAGGGAAAATAAACTATTTTACATCTCTGTAAACATAGGACAAAACTTAAAGTGATTTAAAAGAAGTTGCTTTGGATTCTGGCTGCATAGACTACACTGTACACTGCTGACCCGTCCTTCATGTCACTGGAAATGTCTGGGCTGTCCAAAGAATAGTGGCATTCCTTGGCATAACGTCACAAACACTGATAAAGGATTAATATGCACCTTTTAAACATTGACTGAATGAAATGCATGATTTGGAGGCATTTAAAGAGTTTTAGGGGACGTCTGTAGTTTGCTGTAAACTAACATCAACACACAAGTCATGAAACTCATTATGCTTTTACAGTAAGTTGTGTTCATGTCAAATAGGAATGGCTTCATTTTGCTGCCACCTTGACAACAATATGGTCAGTTTCTCATTTTAACAAGATTTCTTTTTTTTTTTAAAGTTAGAAATACCACTCTTACACATCAGCTTGAATATTTTAACAGGAAAACTTAAGAGTTAAATGTTTCTTGTTAAATACAAGGAAAAATAAATATAAACCATTGGCTTCCTAGATAAATTGTTTGTCGTAGTGGATCTAGACTTGGTAGGTCTTAAACTATAGTTTGGTGTATACCAAAGCAATAAGAAAATCCCATAATCATTTCATTTAAATGAGAAACAGCAAATGTTTTTTAGCATGGAGGCAACAATATTTTTCCACACAGATGCTAAAAGTCACATTTGTTTCACATAAAGCCAATCAAAGACTTCTGATAGAGGAGCTGATATCCTTCAGTTGAGGTAACTATCTTTGTTTAATACTGTCAAATATTCACACTGGCAAACAACTAACAATTGGATCTAATTCTAATAAATAAGGAGGTAAACCTCAGTTGGAAATGTATTCTTATAAATCCAACATGAAATGAATACAGCTCAAGATTCAATGTTAGTTTGACTAATCTGCCTTCACATCTTTCCAAAAATGATTAACTTATTGTTATTTAGCTTTCACTCAAATATGAATATATGAGGCTGTTAGTCATGGTCTGAAAATACATGCTGCGTTACATTTAATATGTTATTTCCTGTCATCCTAAAAAGTGCCATCCAGGAATGTCACAGATAGCTCTATAGGGCTGCATATAAATCTTTATCACTTGTCACATGGAGTTTTTCCAGAGACAAAGGGCTGCAGTGTAGGCAAAGTGATGCAGAACGATGTTACGTTACATATGTAAACGCTAGTAATGGCGTTTTAGTATTTAAAAAAAACATGGCTCCAGTTTCAGGTTTCAACTTGGTAGCGTGCGTGATTTACAGATTACTGGCACTAGCTGCAGTTGAAACAGTGCAAATACGTAGGAGGAGTGTTTTCACTTATGCTGTTTTTTGGAGGGTCCCGATGGCAGCTTGTTTCGGGGGCTAAAAGGGGGTCGCAGCAGTCTGAGGCCTCCTCGGGGTACAGTATGTGGACCATATGAGGATATGGGCGCTCACTGGGCTTCCCACTCCTCATCGGACACCTCATCATGGGGAATGATGCGAGTGTTGCTGGCCCGGATGCTGCTGATGTTAGTGAAAGAGAGGAGGCTCGCAATGCCCATCGGACTCACTCCGGTGCCATCCAGGTTCACCTGAGCCAGATGCATGTGTTTCAAGAATTTCAGTCCTGAGGAAAAGGTAGAAATTGTTTAATGACTCAAGAAAAGATAGCAGTTATCTGTTGTGAGTCAGATGAAGAAACGCTAGTGATTTTGGAGTTTGACCTTACCGTGGTCTGTGATCCGTGTGCGGCTCAGATTAAGTTTCACGAGCTGATTGCACCGAATCAGACCTCTCCTCACTACCGTGTCTCCCACCTGCGTACTGGCTAACCCCAACACCTAAAAACACAGGGGGAAAAAAAAGTAAAATATATGATTAAATACTATATAACCTGTCTGCAAATGTACACCAACGGAAAGGTTAGCAATTAGCTTCAAAGCAGCTGTTCTGTTAAACATTTGTTTTATCTATTAACAAAACCGTACATTGCACGACAGATAATGATAAGGTTTTTACGCCACTTAAACAGCTGGCAATCCCCTTTCTGAGTCTGGTTTAACACATTTCCCCTATAGTGTTTTTGTAAGGACTGTTAACACTAAATGAAGGATTGCTCTGGCAGGGTTTGATCCGCAGTTCACCTGTGTGTTTATAATAATCAAATGTTAACGTTGCAGGGCAGCACAGTTTGTCCTCTATCATTTGTAAACCTTGTAATAGGCAATTGACAGAAATGAACTCACCTGGAGGTGCGGCAGAAAGGTGATGAGTTGGGCCACTCCTCGACTGGTGACCGCTGTCCGGTCCAGACAGAGCTCCTGAAGCTCCAGCAGGCCCCGCAGAGAGGGGAGCCCTGCATCTGTCACCTGGGTGTTGCTCAGTGACAGCTTCTTCAACCTGCACAAAGTACACAACGCTCCTGTCAGTATCTCCGTGTAATCACACTGAAACGATGTGTTAAACAGCGTGGGAATGACCTGATCATGGTGGAGAGCTGGCTGACTCCCTGGTCTGTGACCTGTGTGTAGTCAGTCAGGTCCAGTTCTATGAGCACAGACAGTCTAGAGAGGAATGATAACCCGCTGTCTGTCACGCAGTGCCGTCCAGGGAGAGTCAGATGGGTCAACTTTAGACCTGGAAGGAAAGTAGAAACCTCTCTTAGGAGTTGTATTGACTTGGAACATGTGGTTTCAATCCATCAATGTGCCTTATTTTCCATTACCTGAGATGATCTGCAGGGTGTGATTACCATCCGCTACGGGGATTCCTGCCAAACTGAGGACAGACAGAGCAGGGTGGGTGGAGAGGTGCTCCAGGGAGCTCTCTGTCACATCTGTCCCATCCAGGTTGAGAGTCTGCAGGCTGGACATCTCTGCCAAAGCTGACACATCCCTGACCTGGCACCCATCGAGACAAAAAGAAAATGTTAAAACCTGGCTTTTCTGTGAGTTACCAGTCATGATGTGCCCAGTAAAGCTGAGGGTACCTTGGTGTGCTTGATGCTGAGCAGCCGCAGGTGTGGCACACAGGAGGGCAGGGCTCCCAGAGTGGCTTCAGTCACAGCTGTCTGGTTCAGGCTGAGCTGAGAGAGACAGGACGGAGCGGACTTGAGATAAAGTACCATCCCGGCGTCTGTCACTTTGGTCTGGTCCAGGGACAGGAAGTACAGGCTCTTTAAACCTTGAGGAAAGAAGACAAATGGTGTCACTACGTGGCAAAATACATCAAGACAAAGCCCATTCTGCGAAAGTACTTAACGCGGAGCAGTTTATATTGGGATCTGCCTTTTTTGCACGCAATTGCCTATAAAGTGGTGTTAGCAGTTTGCAGAAAGCCTTACCTGTGATATGCTGCAGACAGGAGTCGGTCAGTTTGCAACAGGAGGCCAGGTTCAGGTTCTGGAGTTTAACCAGGCTGGACAGGATCGACAGGCCAGAGTCTGGAAGAACAAAATAAGATGGTTAAAATAAATTGGCAATAACCAAACTAATTGCGGGACAATAAAAAAAACGTCATCCCGAGATGTAATTCTGTACCAGTGATGAGAGGCGAGTTGACCAGACTCAGATGCTTCAGTGCTGTGAAGGCCCTCAACTGCCGCAGCAGCTCATTGGTGGAGTAAGGGTAGCAGTTTAGGACAAACTTTTGCAATGGGCAGCCGAAGAAGAGCTCCAGGGTGCGAGGACGTAGGAGCCTCTCACGGGACATGTGGTTCAGCAGGAGCTCTGCTAGCTCCGGGGTGAGGCATGCCAGACTGCTGCTGTACTGCATGCTGGGAGCTGTAGTAGGGAGTAGATAAAAAAGGGCCATGGATGCTGACAGTGGGTAAAATGTTCTGGGTAATAAGTGAGTCTTATAAGTGAGTGTTCTAAATGGTCTCTTACCAGTCATGAGGTGGACAGTTGCACGTGTTGCCAAGGCACATAGGGACGGCACGCTGGGGGCCCTGTAGGGTTTTTTAGGGGGTGACGGCTGTCCCTGGGAGGCACGGTGGTCTTCTTGCTGCGCAGCTCTTTGAAGACGCTCCACTGCAGCCAGACCTGCGGCTCCAGGAGCCTCCCGACCCCCCGCATCCTCTGCCTCTGGTGGATCCTCATGAGGGGCCTCCCTGAAACACACAAATGCAACTCTCTTTTATATCGACGCTATATTTTAATTAACATGAAAAAACCATCCCTGTTTATTCTAAAATGCCAGCAACATTTTATGTCTATGAAAACCCAGTACATGGGATACTACAGAATAATTCATTACAACCAGCTGCAAAACGGTTTGAATCAGTTGTAGTCCAGAACATATAAAGTTGTATCAATTTACACGTTTTTATGTAAAATTGTCATATTGCCTTTACCTGAGTCGATTGCCTTGCTCTGGCCAGAGGTGCCTGGGCTCAAATTCTCCACGAATCCTATTATCTGGAAAGAAAGGCAGCCGTGGCATCCCTGTAAAACATACAGTGAAAAGTGACAATTGTAAAATATCACCAAGCTGTAACTCAAAATACTAAAAACACTTGTATAGTCCTCTCGTCTTTAATATTAAAAAAATGGTTATGAAACTCAATAGAAGTAACTTGAAGCCAGAAGAAGTTCTAGGAGGATTAGGAAGTCACATACAAGGGAAGCAAGCAACATGTAGGTCAAGCAGCGATGAGGTGTTAGACTCAGAAAGTAGTACCATTAAGCATATCAAGTGCTTCTTCCTCTTCTCCTTGTTCTTCATCCACCTCAATGCCGGCATTCTCCTCCACATCAGCAGCCAACTTATGGCCCCGGCCTGTTGAACAGAGCAAGGAATATTACTGAACAGCTATTTAAGAAATTGCTCGATATTCTGATTTGTTTAAATAATTGAGCCTATAAAAGTTGCAATGTGAGGAGCTATTTCAGAAGTCTAAATGATTTTCTC